CCACTCATTTTCAGGGCTGTGAGTGCACCAAAAGGCTCCAGTTGCCCTGATCAGCCTCTGACCATCTTCCTCTGCCAGCCCCCCTTGTAGCCCCTTCCCCAAGCTGAGGGGCTTAGCTGACTGCTGCCAACCCTGGTCTTGCCTTGCCAATCCGATACCTGCATTGGGTGGTGATCCTGCCCAATCAACAGGGACCTGTGGGGTGATGGCTGGACTGCTGGCTTGAACCCCATACTGTGACTAGGCAATCTTGGCTCATTTTGTGTGGGTATTCATCATGGGCCCTCTGTACCTACATCTAAGTGACCTGGAAGTATTTAATAGCAAAAAATAAGAAGAAGCTCTGATTTTGAAACATTTTCTCAAGCCAGCTGTTCTTTGTTCACCTAGAAGAAGAGCTAGGCCCATGAACATCTTTTCCCCTGGCTAAATCTCTGCGAGTTGTGTCCATCTGACAAAGTCAAGGAGCACCAGCCTGATCTGTTGCTTGACTTGACTGGACTACCCCAGTGAAATTTGGCCTTCCTATAAAAATACTTCTAGTCCTCCCTTCTTCTGCCAATAGTTATTTATGTAGGTCTTTGCGTCTTCTTAAAAGACAAGCATTCTTATTTTTGTTCTAGGGTAGTTTTTTACTTGCCATTTATTGAGTCCCCTGCAACAGAGTATGTACTTTAAATTGTGGTGTTCTTGGCATTGTCCCAAAGAGCTGTATCTGAATCTGTGACAACAGATATTAACCTTGCTTTGCAGCCCTGTGATATAGGGCTGAGTGCAACATGTAAGCTGAGATACATGATGAAACAGCTATTTCAAAATATGAGGAAAATTAGAAGTCATATGACAGGCAGACTCCACTAATTGCCATCCATTACCTGTACATATGGAAAGGTGTGCCTCTTTATGGAGGTAGTTATGCCTATTTATTGGGTTTGGGTATTGGTGCTTGGGGGTTATTCAGAATGTTTGAAACAGTACTTTCTGTCTGGTTCTGTATGATTCATTTGTAATGATCAGCTATTAAAGTTTTTAAATAGGGCACTTTAATGGTGTTTTCTATTTCTGATGAATTATCTTGAACTTATTTATGCAAATGCTCCTTTGGACTGCAAAAATCTCCCAGGCTAAAGGCATCTGAGGAAGAACACAAATAGGACTTGTATGATGCAAAGAAGTTTTCAAGTAAATGAAAATTAGATTCAGTAGCTACAAGGTCTTTGTGTTTATCTAGCAGTGTAAAAAATTGAGTGGTTTAAAAAGAATGAATAGACTTTCCCTGGGGGAGATTGCAGCAGAAAAGTGCAAGCAACACTAAGCTCACTCCATGAGCTTTACTCCTGGATTCTTTCATTATTCTCTTTTTGGTTTTTTTTCGGTTGTTCCACCAGCACACACTCTCTCTGCCCCTCCTTCAAAAAAAAAACAAACAAAAAAAGTGTACTTGGAAAGGCTGGGACTCAAAAAGTTAAAGTTTACTGCAAATACACATAGGATACTTTTAAGGATGATGTTCTCCCTCTTTCTCTCTCCTGTTTTCCTGACCACTCTTCTGTTGGCTGAATTGCAGTTTTAAAATTTGAGAATTTTCTCCTTATATGCAGTTCCTCTTTTTTTCACAGCTCAATGCCAGGTGGCTTAGTATTCCCTCTACTTTAATTATCGTTGTCAGCCTTATTTGACATTGTAACAAGAGAAATGCTCTTGCTATATTATCTAAGTATCTTGCCAGCTGGCAACAGGGGAATCCTTCAGTACTTGTGAATTAGTTTGATATCACCTGACAGTGAAAGCTTACTTAGAGTGTAAGATAAAGGTTCACGACCACAGCACCAGCACAGTGATTTCTGCTGTGTATTCCATGTAATCACCATATGCAGTAGATATTTATCTGGTTGTGTTTGTATCTTAGCGTGAAATTAAAAAAAAAAAATCCTCAAGAAGAAGCTGAACACCTCTTCCAGATGGCAATGAAAACTTTCTCTGGCTGCCAGCTTATTGTAAAAGAGGCTAGTCTTCTTGCAAGAATAAAGCACACCACTGTGACAATGCTTTAAGCTACTGCTGGTTCAAGGCAAGACATGACATTTCTCATCTTGCTTAGATTACAGTCTATTTGACAGACTTGTGTACCTATGAAATTGCCCTAGATTAACATAAAGGTTATTTAGATGTCTGAAAAAGGTCTGGAAAGACTTAAAGAATGTCAAATAGCAGAACTCTGCTGAGTACTAAACCTAGCCGTTTTGTGACTACCAAGAAAGGGCTTTACGCAAATGCTGGAAGAACAGCAGCATGTCGCCCTGTGGTCAGTGTGACCTCTCTTCATTGTAGCCAAAACTCTGCTCAAAAGGAGCTAAAAGAGGCATTTCTGAATTGGTGACAGGTAGATAACACTGCAGCAGCTCTCACATTATAGACGAACACACAATTTAGTGAGAAGTAATAGGATTATAAACCAGTGGAAAGGTGTAAGTCAGAAGCAAAAAAAGATGTTAGAGCTTTGAATCCATCTCCTGCTAGTGGAGGACTGCTCCCTGCAGTTCATTTTCCCATGCTTTTCCTAGTCTGTTTTTGCATGCCCTGTATGATAGTAGTTTCCATTATTTCCCTTGGGAGGAAGAGATGATGTTTACTACCTCTCTTTGTCAGGAAGCTGCTGTTGGTATCTGGCCTGCTTTCATTTTCCCAACTCCATCTCATTACCCTGAATGATTCCCTGCGCAGCACTCTCAACAATGCTGTTCTTCCTTTCTGTCCTGAGTCTGTGAAGGACTCGGGTGGCTGGTGGGGCCCTTTACAGGCTCCCATATGGCTCAGAGGGGCCCTACACAGTCCCAGAGGCTAGTCAGTGGGAACTGGTCTCTCTGGGAAGCAGCCCGAAGTTGGGGGATGGGGGGCATGTGTCCTATACCCATAAGCTCCTAGGGACAGCTCCAGTGCAGTCTTCCTCTTCGGGCAGATTTAGTGTAAATATGCCACAGATTTTCCATGACAGAACCTGGCATCTCTTTTTTTGACTGCCTGTAGCCCTTGTGGCACGGCTGTAAAGGAGATGGGATACCTGTAGGCAGCAGCTGCTGCCTCCTTTCATCAGAAATTTTCCACGTTGTACGAAGCAGCAGCCTTGGGGGTTCCCTAATTCTCAAACTTGGATAGGGCTACTTTTTTTGGTAAATAGGCGTGTACCATAACACAGATGCCTCTTCATTCTACTTGATCACATATACTTAGACACTTGCAGCAGGTAGTGGCAGAATCACCATAAATTTTGTCTCTGAGAGATACTGCATAGGTGGGTTATGTCCTGCCCCTCTCCCTCCATTGTGGGAATCCTTGCTCTATAGCATAGGGCTTACTCAAGGTTCTCCAATGTACCAGTTAGTTTTCCTGAGTCCTGGCCCTGAGTTTGCTCCTAACAGTAAAAACTGTTGACGTTCAGTAAATCTCCCCTTAACAGTACCTTAAAGTACAACCTAAATACAGTCAGAGAGTCTATTCTATGCAGATTCAGTCATCTTAATAAGAACTGGGCACATACTAAAAAGAGCATAGGAAATACATTTTCTCTTTTTCTACATGAACTATTTATTCACTTGAATGAAACCTCTATAAAAATGGCTCTGTCCTGTGCAAAGGAAGAGTTTAATAGATCTGTTGATCAAGACAATTTCAACATTTTAATATGGCTGACTCAGTAATTCTTGTACACATATTTAGTAGCTCTTGATGCAACCTCAGAATGGCATTAGTCCAGATGTGAGCAAAGAAGAAGGAGCAGGGCTTTCTCTCCTATTCATACCATCCTTTCCAATGAGTTCCACACCTGCATACACAGATACTTTAATGATTTGGTGTTTGTTACTTTACTGTCATTCCTGGTTCAACTAAGGGCTGACTCACCTGAGAAATTAGCATTCCTGAGAAACTTATAGACTCCAAGGATTTCTATCCATAACAGAAGTGAGCTTTTACATGTGTGTTGTTTGCAACGTTTTGCTCTCCTAAATTATCAGCCCAATATACTCGCTAAAGCTTTAGCTCTTCATTGCTACCAAAACTGCTATACAGTCCTGAGAATACATTACTGATATTAGTGGGGGGGGGGTCCATGATCCAACAGCAGTAGTTTAACAGATTAATGATTTTTTATTATTACTATTATTCACAGTGTTTCCAAAAGAATAACAAAACATAGCTCTGCTTACATTTTGAAAAAATACATAAATTAGATTTTTCAAAAATTCACCTCTAGCTAAGTGGAAGATTGCTTCTAGCAAGTTCCTTCTGCAACTGGGAGAAGACTCACCAAATGGGAATCATGCAACTTACTGCAGAGTCGTGCATACAGTTCAGACATTGTGTGGATTTTATGAGAATTTATACAGTTCAAATAATTTTTTCTATTTACACATCTCTTTTTTTTTTTTTTTTCCTATGTTGATGTTATTATAAGAAACACTAAGAATTCTGAAGAAATAAAATAGTTATCAGTAAATTTTAATGGCAATCAATTGGTGAGGTCACTAGCAAAGGCATCCATCAGCTGAGTAATAAAGAGTTCCTTTGAAATATTAAGAAAAATATTGAACTTGTGGCTGAATGATTACTGTTGAAAGTGTTTAATTTCACAAACCCTACCATTGTGCTCAAATTCTTCCTCTAATTTATAGTGAAAACATATGTCTCAATGCAGGAATGGCTTAATAAACTTAGCTGAGGAATGAGAATCATATAGTAACTTCAACTGCATAATAAATAGCTATGTCAAGATAGCATTTATTCCATGGTCTGTGAAATTACAAAAAGAGTAGAGAAAAAGAAAAGGAAGTTATCAAAATCTAGACAAAGTCAATAGTTGTGAAACCTGCACTTTGGAGGCTTTAATCTGAACATTAGTGCACATTGAAATAAAATTGCACTTGAAGGAAAGCAAACTTAGAACAAATATTTTCAAATAATTTGTTTTCCAAAACAAGCAGTGTCATTTGAATCATTCTCACCTGCAGAGGTTTTCACAATTTCTGAAGTATTTCTCAGACCCATAAAATCAAACTGATAGAGTCTCCAAGATTTCTGGTCAGCAGCCTCCACTGAGTTTTTTCTCCATCTGTAAATCATTTCCTCTTTAGGGTAGCCATCTAGAAATTAAAAAAAAAAAAAAAAAAAGTATTGCATTTCATAAAAAAGGTACCACAAAACAGTATCTGTTCACTGATTTAGAGCTATTTGGGAATCTCTAAATTCCTGATCTGATGCTTTCCCAATGGGTTTGGTGGTATAATTCAGCTAAAGAGTGATATGGCACACAAAAATTTAGTCATAATACCGGCAAAATTATGATTTTTCACGTTTTCTTTTCCTATGGGGAAAAATACTGATTGGTTCTGTCTCTCTGCGTCAGAGATGCAGTTGACTAAGTTGAGGTCCATACACAGGAGTATTCTGCTTTACATATGATCTGAATAAACTGTGCAAACCAATATAGTGTAAAAAAAAGAGCGGAGGAGGGGTGTTGGTGTAAGATGTAAGAAGCTGAAAAGGATAGATTTTTTTAAAAGGGACAATAGTTCTAATGTGGTGTGTGCTACTGTACTTCTAAAATTAGTGCATTACAGTGCAAAAACCCAAATTTTTAATTACTGTGGGATTTTTAAAGTGATTATGCCTTCCAAAGGTTGTGGCATTTAATGAGACATCACCTGACCTCTACAGCAGAAATAGCTTCTGAAAGTCTTACTTTATCAATTTAGCACTTAGTAGTCATAATTAACCATCACGCCAATATTTATTTTCCTTTTTGTTAGAGAATAGTTTTTGCTACAGAAGTCCAACAACAAATATTCAAACAGCCCAATCCATAATAACAGATCATCTAGAAAACAATAGCACACCCATGCTAGTTAAAGCTAGATTGTTCTCTAATGCATAATACAATAAATGCCTATTCATTTAATAATTAATATAGTAGATGTAGCTTGCAAAGAAAATTAAAAGCCTAACAATAACAATAGCCAGTTAATATAACTGTCTCAGCTGTAATCTTTTTTTTTTTTCCCATTGCATCCCTATAAATTTTGAAATTTGCATTACAAAACAACTTCTCTGGTCATGATGCTATTTTGCTGATGTTTTCCTCCTATGAGTGTCGTCTTCACCTTGTTTAAGGTTCTACCCTGCTGTTGCACTCCTCTAAGGTGTGCGTGGCCTTGTTTATCCCTCTCACTAACACAGCATGAAAAGTACCCACCAGTCCCTCAGTTCTAATCCGGAGAAAATGACTATGTGTTAATTCAAAATGCCACATTTGTATATTTCCCATTGATGTAAATAAAGAAGGAAGGACCTGACTGAGTAACAAACACAAACCCTGCCGTTCTCCATGAGAAGTCTTGCTGCCAAGCAGATTTCACTGCCAATTCTGCTGTGCCAATCTGCGAGATTGATCTAAAGGTTAATTATTTTTGGCTGGCAGACTATGTCAGATGATGCAGAGGTACAGTGAAAGAAGTCAAGCTTTGCAGAGCCTCCAAGCACTAGCCCTGCATCCTCTGAAATCTTCTTGAGTCTGGCTTGTATTGGACTAAGCCCTCTGGTCACATTTCTGATAGAAAAACCTCTCCCTCTAACAGAAAGCCCTACATTTTTCCTCAGGAGCCTTGTCAAACTGTCTTCATTTGTGGAAACTTTGATATCTCTCTATCAGTTCAGGAGGGAGGAAGCATCAGATGTCCTCCTCACCATGTGGCTGCTGTGCCCTTAACACCTGGTGACAATGGCAGAGCCACCCTGTCCCCACAGAGCAGTATCAAGACCACAGATGAGGCTGCCATGCTGTCTGCATCCTAATCCTACCTTCTGATTTGCCTCCTGATGAGGAGGAAAGGAAACCCTTGCCCTGTTGTATTCCCTGCACCAGCTCCTGCTCCGGAACTTGTGGCCCAAAGCACCAATTTGTAGATTTTATAGCAGGTAGTAGATTGGGATCCTTTTCTCAGGAAAATTTCACCATAATCATTGTAAGTAAAAATATTTCAAATATCTTGGAAGTGACAAAGATTTTATTTCTTTAAAAGCATTATTTGAAATTGATTCAAAATTATATTTTAACATTTTTTTCCAAATTTCACTGAAAAAAAATTTCTATCAATAAGTCTTGAATTCATATTTTTCCCTGATTTTTTCTCTGCTTTTTTTTTTTATTCCATGGCCACCTCACCAAAAATTCATTACTCTGTCAGTAAGCTTGAAAGCTTGCTATTGTATTATCCAGGGCATAGCTCATTATCCTGGCATGAGCAGCATGTAGTCGGGAATAAATTCACAAGACTCTCGTTCTTCAGGAGTTTTCCTATATTTTTGACTAAGAAGAGAGAGATTCAATTTCAGAATAATTACTTTAGGTATTATTCATTGTCATTTAATAGTAAGCAATTGACTTCAGGAGACCATCATACCCTTTCAATGGTAGTCTCCTTAATCTACAGTCACTGACATCTACTCTTAGAATGGTTGTGTTACTTAGATCAAAGGAGATAAGTACTGGCTATTCAATGGGAGTTGTTTCAACCTGTTAAATAACTGCTAATATGTTCTGCTCCAGTACCATGTGACTTCACTTTTCAATTCATTTAAAGATATAATATTTCTTGTGAAATGGCTACACATCTACTTAGACAGTATATCACTCCTAGGATTCATTTAACTTACAGAATGGACAATTCATGATGGTTCTTCTTTCAGTGATATCCAATATTTCTTGTATACAACCTAATTGCTTCTAGTCCCCTAAGTGCTCTGTGTTAGAAAATATCATAACTAGAGACTTCGGTAGTTCCACAAGAAAATGAAACCTCTGCTGTTCAGCCCTCAACACAACTAAGAGTGCATTATCTACAGAAATGTCTGTTTTCTTTCACTTCCCCAGCATGACAAAAGGCAGTAGATTACCTTAAATCTTGACCTTGTGGCTTCAAGCCACCCATGTTGAACAAATTGCTATCCATCAAGTGTATTTACCCTGTCAGGTTGCTTTAGGTTATGTAAAAATATCCATGCTGCAGCAGGGCAAGGCTCCAGCAGGTCCTGGAGGCTTTCCCAGAGGTGCCAGTAAGGCAGCAAAGGGGGCAGCAAAGGGGACAGCATGGGAAGAAGACAGCCATGACAACCAAGTGTGTGTTCTGTGATACAGACATCCATGTTCTAGCAATCCGGAACTCAGGAGCTTCTTAACCAAAGTCTGTGTCAACACCTTCATTTTCCCTCTCATGAATGTATTTCATTGCCTTTAAATTTTCCTATTTTTTGGCCTGGTGGTTATTTTGTTGTCGGAACTCTAGCTTTTCACATCTTCTGCAGGTTTTAGACTTGTATACTATCAAAGATTCTACAATGCATCTTGAGCAGTTGGCTTTTTGTAAGACTGGTACTATGTGCCTTTGAAAAAACAAGTCAAGAACAAATTTTGTTGAAGTTATTTCTTTAAGAGCCTAGTAGAAAGTATCCTTGTATTCATCTTAGGTAATACTTCCTGTTCTCTTTCACTGAACATACTAATGGCTTTTCCACTTAACATGTAATTGGTATCTTAGTTGCTTTACTCATAGACTGAAACATATAGCTTTTCAAAGTGTACCACTGACTTTAACTCCAATAGTGCAAACATGGATAAATAATATATGCATTTTTTGCTGTTTTGGAGGTGAACCTATTATCAAAGAAAGCCAAATTGTCATGGCAACCTGTGAGATTCTGTGGATTTTGTTTTATCTCCTTTTCATTACTGGAATAATTGAACTCATGTTACCACATCTTCTCACAGCACCACCATGTAATTTATAGCTGACAGGTTAAGAATATTTAAACTACATTCATCATCTTCATAGTGCTTTACTTTCTATGGAGACTGATTTGTGCAGAAGCCTCCACCAAAATGCTGAAAAAATTGTCATGGCCAGAAATATCTCCAGGCCAAATAAGATGCATGTGCAATCACAAGTTAGCCATGAAAAGTGGTGTCAAGTGGTCCTGAAGCACATCTGCTACAGGAGTCAACACTGATGGAAAATCAGCAACTTCCATAACATAACCATTGACATATCCATGCTTGTTAGTGCATACTGGCTCTAACCTTGATTTCCCCAATACTGTTTTTGATCAGGGCATCCTAGATCAATGACTGAGTCTTTCTTTCACCTTCTTTTCTGTGGTAATGGGTCTATTTTAGGAAGTGAGTAGAGATGGGAAGAAGATGGTAGGATGGGGATCATGTCAAAAAAGACACAGACCAATTGAAGAACCAGTTTCTTTCTAAAAAACTTTCCTCAAAAACGTATCCAAGGCATGGAAATACAGAGATGCATGGAAAAATAACCCCAGCCCCTTTCATCTCTCCAGACATATTTTCCTGATCTGTGAAATCAATTTATTTTGCTGCTGTTTCTCCACACTTTGTATTCAAACATAACACAGGCAGACCCAGCTTGTAGCAGAAGGAATAATGCAACAAGGAAGCTCATCTCTCCTTCTAGCCTTGGAAAAATTGGTATTCTCAGAGCATGTTATGAGGAGTTAATGAAAGCAGCAGCAAAGCTGAAAATGTGGGGGAAGCAGGCAAGAAAGGATCGGTTTGCTTAAGTCTCTGCCAGGAGGCTGATGCTTATGACAGGAGTGTATATCCGGAAGATGTAGCTGGATTCTGGGAGGGTTCTGTTTTTCCAGGGATGTTAGATATACAAAGTCAGGAGAAAGGATGATCTGAAAAACAAGCTGTCGCCAGCAGCTAGTGATCAGAGTTTACACCACAGGCATGGAGGGAGTATGGTAGATTTGACTGCTGCTGATGAAGGTGATCAGGAGAGGGTGGATGCCCTGACACAATTAGAGGCAGGCAATGAGCAGCCCTTCGCACCTTAGAGCCTGCTGCTTCCAGTCATGCTTTGCTTCCTTGAATGCTACCCAGTAAACTCTTCTTCAGACTAATTGGGAGACCCCTGTCAGCACAGCCCCAGGCAGATGAAGAGGGAAACCCCTGTCAACACAGCACCAGCCGTATGAGGATAATGAAGGCTAGAAATTCACCTTTCTCTGATGCCGTGCTGTGGATGACAAATCATATGCTTCCACAGAAGCTGCTTGGGCT